GGAAAATCTGCCATGTGAGGTTGTAAGAAAATGGGTAGAACAGGTAAGCCAGTTACACACACCAGGGGAGGCAATCAGCAAAATCCAGACTGTGAGGAAACTCCATAGGCCCAGTTTCTTTCAGGATAAATTGAAAGGGGGGTGGGGGAGCAATGGTGGGAGAATCTGCAAATTATTAGAAACTTTTGTCATATCAACCAATCATAATATGAGGACCCGATTAAAACAAACTTTTAAAAAATAATGATTTTTTAAGACAATTGGAAATTTGCACACTGTCTAGCTAGATATTTGATGATATTAAGGGTCAGGCTCTACTGAGGGCTCCCAGATTCTTTGAAAAGAAAAATGAGTAATAGCACTGATAATAATAACTCATTACCGAGCCCTTCTGCAGCAGAAAGATGTGGCAGTCTGGTTTGTCAAGATTTGCAGCCTTAGAAACCCTACGGGGCAGTTTTACTCTGTCCCATAGGGGCGCTATGGGTTGGAATCAACTCCACGGCAGTGGGTTCAGTTTTTTAAGCTGGGAGGCTGCTGCTGTTCAGACTCTAGGACTGAGCCCAAAGAGAGGCTTCACCCCTTGTTAGCCAGCCTGGCTTGGCTCAGCAGTAGCCCCTACTAAACCATGTCTGGTAAAACGGGCCAGGCACAGCTCTTACCTTCAAAGTTAAACTATGTCCCAATACCCTGCCTGTATGTACTGAGGTAGAAGGGGGAGGAGAGGATGAGGCTTTCATCACCTTCAACCCCCAAAAACCACTGCCATTGAGTCAATTCCAGCGCACAACTGCCCTGTAGGGTTTCTAAGGCTATAAATCTTTACAAGCAAATTACCTCATCTTTCTCCCTCGGAGTGACTGGTGGGTTCAAACCACCGACCTTTTGCTTGGCAGCCAAATGTCTTAACCACTACACCACCAGAGCTCCTTCTCAATACCTTCTCGCCCCCATTATCCCCCTTGGCCCTGAGACACAGGGCAGCAGGACCCACCTTTTGGCAGTGGGGGCAGGGGAAGTTGTGAGTGGCAGTCTGTAGGTGGTGCTCGAGGGCCTCAGGGGTGGAGTACTTGTTGACGCATTTGACACACCTGAATGGGAAGGAGCAGGAGAGGTAAAACAGGAGCAGGTGGGGGCTGGGCTTGCTTGGAAGATACAGGAACTAGCACCTCCCCCAGCATCCACAGGAGGAGGCAGAAACCTATGTTTAATTCATTCTCCAGTCCATCCATTCTTGCTTGCCACTGCTTGTCATCCTAGTTGGAGCTGCCATCGTCCCTCCCTCGGACCTCTGCAGTAACCTTCTCACTGGTCTCCCCACTTCCACCCTGTCTCCTGTAGTTCATTATCCAGAGGGCAGCCAGAGGGAAACTTTAAACAAAAAAAGCAGACTGGGTCACACCCTTGCTTAAAACTCCCACCTTGGCCTACAAGACCCTACTAATTTGACTCTCTCTCACCTCTCAGACTGCATCTTCTTCCATTCCCCGCCTCACTGACTCTGTTCCGGTCATCCTGGCGCCTTGATGTACCTCCAACACGCCAAGCTCGTTCTCAACTCAGGGCTTTTGCACTTGCTGTTCCTGTCACCTGCAATCCTCTTCCCTGGGTGGCGGCTTCTCATCCTTCAGATCTCAGCTTAAATGTCACCTCCTCAAGGAGGCCCTCTCTCTCTGAACTCCCTGTCTCAAGTTGCCTCCACACCCCTACCCTGGCCATTTCTTGC